TCCTCATGCATATCCTTTTACCATTAATAGTAGATATAATCACTTTTACAATTTTTTTGGATTTTTAAAAATTTAGGTACTGACTTATTAAAGTGATCTTCAGTCCTTTTATATATTTGCCTTTCCTATAGATACTTGCTTCTTTTCTATTTAGAGAAGACCTTTCAATATTTCTTTTAGGTTAGATTTAATATTGCTGTATTCTTTCAGTTTTTGCTTGTCTGAGAAATTTTTTATCTCTCCTCCTATTCTAAATGATAATCTTGCTGGGTAGAGTATCGCAGATTGCAGGGTTTTCCCTTTCAGGACTTTGAATATATCATGCCACTCCCTTCTGATCTGCACAGTTTCTGCAGAGAAATCAGCTGATAGCCTTATGGGAGTTCCCTTGTAACTGACTCTGTTTTTCTCTTCCAGCCTTTAGAATCATCTCTTTAACTTTTGCCATTTTAATGCTGATAATGTCTTGGTGTGGGTCTGTTTGTGTTCATCTTGTTTGGGACCCTCTGTGCTTCCTGTACCTGGATATTGGTTTCCTTCTTTAGATTTTAGGAAGTGTTCAGCCATAATTTCTTCAAGTACATTTTCAATCCCCTTTTCTCTCTCTTCTCCTTCTGGAACCCCTATTATGCGTAGGCTTGCACTCTTTATATTATCCTGTAAACCTCATGTGTTGCTTTCATTTTGTTGTCTTTCTGTCTGCTATTCTGATTGGGTGATTTCCATTATTCTATCTTCCAGATCACTTATTTATTCTTCTGCAGCACTTAGTCTGCTATTCATTGCTTCTAGATTGGTTTTTTACTTGTCAATTGAATTAGCTAATTTTGACTGTTTCATTTATATAGTCTAGTTCCTTGTTACAGTAATCTGCATTTCTATTGATAATCTTTCTTAATTCCTTCAGCATTTTTATTACTTCCTTTTTGAAGTTGGGGCTTAGAAGACCAGTGAGGTCTGTTTCATTAGTTGTTCTTTCAGGGGAGTTCTCTTGTTTTTTTAATTGGGAGTAGTAGTAGTTCTTCTGCTTTTTCATTTTACTTAACTTTCTCTGTCTCTATGAATTTAGGAGAAACAGTTATCTACTGTGGTCCTAAGGGGTGTTTTTATGTGGGAGCACCCCTGTGTAGACTGTGTGAGTTCAGTATTTTTGGTGCGAGGGCTGGTTTTGGTATGGATACCAGCCACATCTTTCTTCAGAGTTTGCTGGCCATTATCCCCTTGATAAGGGGTGTGATTTGTTTTGTAGTGTCTAGAGTCTGTGCTTGATGTGAGGTGGGGTTTCCTCTTTCTCCGTGGTTGTCATTGCCTCGTTGGGTTCTGGGTCTGCTCCCAGGTTTTGGAGTAGAAGTCCTGAGGGTTGGGTTCAGTAAGGTTCCATTGCCCTTGAGTGCGTGCCCTTCCCCAAAGGAGATGATTGCTGAAGCAAGTGAGGCTCTTGTGGTCACAGCAAACCTGTGCACTGCCTGTGTAGGTCTCTGCGGTTCCTCTCAGATGCAGCCCAAGGTCGTATCCCTTTCTCCATTGTGTTTGTCCCAGGTCTCGTACAAGGCTGTGGTGTGGAGTAGGCTGAGGCTGAGGATGTGGGCATTGTGGCTGCAGAAATTGAGGTGGCTGTGCTGCTGCCTGGGATCTGGGCTGCCTCTGTGGCACACTTCTTCCTGGACCTGTCTGCCACATATCTGGTGCTGAGCTGCAGCGTGGAGTGGGCGGAGCCAGCGTGCTCTCACTGGGGAACAGATTGCTTCACACTCCTCACCAGGACCTGTCTGCCCAAGGTTCAGCACGTAGCTGCTGCACGTTATCGTGGCACTGCCTTGTGTGTGTGCTGACAGTGGTCACCACAGCTATGCCTGGATCACACCGCATGCACCCTGGTCTGATCCTGTGCAGTTAGACCAAATCTTTGCCCTGATCTCGCACCAGGCTGTGGTGTAGTTTGAGCAGAGACAGGGCCTTCACCCCTTCCAATTGGGAAGTGCAGGAAGGCAGCAGCTGCCAGTGCAAGGCTCTCTCCACCTTGATTATTAGCAAGCCAGCTCACGTGCACTCCTCACAAGTAGAGTCTAGGCTTCTCCAGCTCTTCTCTCTGTCTCAGTGGATTTCCCAGCAGGCAAGAGGGCTTGTCTCCTTTGTGCGGGACCCCAAGGCATGGATGCCCAGATTGTGAGTCTGTCTGTTCCCTCCCCAGGGTAAGGGTCTGCCCATATGGACCTTCTCTTCCTTATAGATCCCTCTCAGAGGCACAGGTCCTGACCTGGTGCCTTTTTTCCTGTCCTACCCAGTTACATGGAGATCTTTCTTGCAGCTTTAGTTGTATAGGAGATCTTCTGCCAGTTTCCAGGTAGTTTTCTCTGAGAATTGTGCCACATGTAGATTTTTTTTTTTTTTAATGTATTTTGTTGAGGAAGGTGAGCTCCACATCCTCCTACTCTGTCTTCTTTTTTTTTTTTTTAAAGAAGATGTTGGGGGTAGGAGTTTATTTATTAATTTCTGCTGTGTTGTGTCTTCGTTTCTTTGCGAGGGCTTTCTCTAGTTGTGGCAAGCGGGGGCCACTGTTCATTGCGGTGCACGGGCCTCTCACTATGGTGGCCTCTCTTGTTACGGAGCACAGGCTCCAGATGCGCAGGCTCAGTAGTTGTGGCGCACGGGCCTAGTTGCTCTGCGCCATGTGGGATCCTCCCAGACCAGGGCTCGAACCCGTGTCCCCTGCATTAGCAGGTAGATTCTCAACCACTGCGCCACCAGGGAAGCCCTACTCTGTCTTCGTGATCCTCCCATGAAGTTCAAACTTTTAAGGTTTGTTTAAGGTTTGATTTTTAATTAAACTAAATGAAAGTGGTCATTGTAAAGGACTTCACTTAACAAAAGAATTTACCTTGACATTTCTTTAAATAATTAGCTCTTTAAATGCATTTACAGTATGATTCAAATTTTTATGGACACAATGTTTTGGAAGTACATTTTTATTTAAATGAAGTATGCCTGTGTGAAGAGTTTCCTTAATAAAGTCATTCATTTGCAAATGTATATGGCCGTTTTGATGTATACTTGATTTTTTAAATTTTATACATTTAGAGTACTTTCAAATACACATGAAAATATTTCTTCTAAATATTCACATATCTATCTGAAGATATTCTGAAATTGAAGATAAGGTTTTTATCCTTTTTTTTTTTGATAATTTTCACCGCCATCCTATAACAAATCTTCCTTTTTGAGAAAACAATTATTCTCAGTTTGGTATGTATCCTTCTAGACCTTTTTCTTTGCATTTATACACATACCTATACCCATATTCATAGAAAGTTTATAGTACTATTTTGCAGACTTCTTCACCCACTTTTTTGTCTTTAAAATTTTGCCTGTCTGTTGGAAGGAAGAAGGTACCTCACTATTTTAAGTAACATTTCCTTGATTGCTACAGAAATTGAGAATTATTTCATATGCTTGACTATTTATATTCCACCTTGTTATGAATTGCCCATTCATAGTAATCCTTTGTTAACTTTGTTTTTGTTGCTTCTGTTGTTTAGAATTATTTTGATGTTAAGTTTATCATTCATTTGTGGCTTTTTATTTTTATATCTATTTAAGCTACAAAGACCTTCCCTACACCGAGGTCATGAATATAATCATCTAAATTTCCTTTAAGTACTTTTATCTACTTGTTTGAATTTTGGTATTTAATTTCTCTATGATTTACAAATAGTAAGAGGTATGGATCTAATTTTATTTTCCAACTCATAAATAGCTACCTTGCCTTTTTTTTTTTTTTTTTTTGCGGTACGCGGGCCTCTCATTGTTGTGGCCTCTCCCGTTGCGGAGCACAGGCTCCGGACGCGCAGGCTCAGCGGCTGTGGCTCACGGGCCCAGCCGCTCCGCGGCATGTGGGATCTTCCCAGACCGGGGCACGAACCCGCGTCCCCTGCATCGGCAGGCAGACTCTCAACCACTGCGCCACCAGGGAAGCCCAGCTACCTTGCCATTTTTGAGTCATACTGTAAAGTAGACAAAATGTGCTCTATTCACATAATGGAATACTAGATGATTAATAACTGTTGGATAAATGGATCTATATAAGAATCCTGAGAAGTAGCAAGGGAAGGTAATATTACCCCTTATTTACATATAGTAAGATTTATGTTCAAAGAGGCTGCATTGGCCAACCAAAATCATATAGAAACAAAGTGGTAGAATAGAACTCAGTTTCTCTGACTCCTAGTCTAGTTGCTATATCTGCTATTGTACAAAAAATAGCCAAGAATTAAATCTAGCTAAAAAGCCACATTTCAGAGGTGAAAGAGCAAGAGGAGTCAGTGAGACAAAATGGAGAACCAAGTATGTGAAAGATAGAAAGAAAACTAGGAAGTGTAGCATCATTAAAAAACAAGGGAAATGAGCTTAAGGAGGGATGATTATCAACATCAAATTGATGCCCCACAATTATCCCATTGAAAGAGGGCCACTGCATTACCTACTTGGGGCAACCCCATTGTATTCTATGCAAATTATATTCCTGGTGTTGTGTCAAAAATTGGCCCTAGAATGAGAACTGAGAAGTTGTAACTGAGAGTTCACTAGCAACCTCTGAGAATATAGTTCCAGTAGGTGGTGAGGAATTATGGTCAGTGAGTGTCATTTAACGCATTAGACAAATGTTGCCTCAGTGTGATCAAGTTTAAGAAGGCTCAGCAGTAGACAGTTTGCTAGAAAAGCTGCAAGAAACAAATGTCTTTGGAGTAGCAGTGAGAATTTAGCATAAATTTATAGTATATGAGGTCAACAACTAATTTCTAGCTGTTGTGAAAACTAATTATTACAAAATTTCATTAGTACTTTTATTTTTTTTAATGCCATGAAGTATAACATATTTATAACAATATCCACAAGTATTCATAAATTAATGTTATTGGAAAAAAAATAAACTATGTAAAAAAATTATAGGAATTGGGGTTTTCTTTCTTATCACTCATGATTGTGTTTGAATCCTTTTTCAGCTGACTCTATTAGTGACCCATTTTTTCCCCGGACTACACAGATACTATTGGAATATCAGCTAGGGAGATGGGTGCCTAGTCTTCGTGAACCACAAGATTTATATGATGTCTCTTCTGGTCCGCTGAGCCCAACACGGTGGCCATACCACTGTGAGGTCATTGATGAAAACGTTCAACATATTGTATGTTCTTAGCAGTTTTGGGGATTCAAACATTGGCAAACTTACTTTGCCACACTTGATTTCAATGAGAAGGATCATGGTATTAGAACAGTGTGCTCCCACAGAAATATAACATGAGCCTTGTATATAATTTAAAATTTTCTAGTAGTCACATTTAAAAAGGTAAAAAAGGGACTTCCCTGGTGGTCCAGTGGTAAAGAATCCACCTTCCAGTGCAGGGGACGTGGGTTCGATCCCAGGTCGGGGAACTAAGATCCCACATGCCACAGGGCAACTAAGCCCGCACACCACAACTACTGAGCGCACATGCCTCAACAAGAGAGCCCACGTACTGCAAACTACAGAGCCCATGTGCCCTATAGCCCATGTGCCCTGGAGCCCCCACGCCACAACTAGAGAGAGAAAACCCACATGCCACAACTAGAGAGAAGCCCACGTGCCTCAACAAAGATCCCGTGTGCCACAACTGAGACCTGACACAGCCAAATAAATAATTAATTAATAAATAAACAGAATTCATCCAGTAAAAAAAAAAAAAAAAGGGTGGGGGGGAGTGAAATTGATTTCAAAATATATTTTATTTAATCTAAATATAATCACAGTATTTTACATTCTTTTTAATATGATGTCTTCAAAATCTGGTCTGCATTTATACTTACATTTCAGTTCAATTCCAGTTTCTCTCTGTCCTTGCCAAAACTTGTCTTTTATTTTTTGGATAATAGCCATCCTAACAGGTGCAAGATGATGTCTCACTGTGGCTTTGATTTACATTTCCCTGAAGATGACTGATGTTAACAATGCAATCCGTATCAAAATTCCAGTGGCATTTTTTTGCAGAAATAAGAAACAACTCTAAATTCAGATGGAACCACAAAAGGCCACAAATAGCCATATCAACCTTGAGAAAGAAGAACAAAGCTGGAGGCATTACACTTTCTGATTTCAAAATATATTACAAAGCTACAGTAGCCAAAACAGTATGGTACTGGCATAAAAACACACATAAAGGCCTATGGAACAGAATAGAGAGCCCAGAAATAAATCCAGGCATATATGTCAACTGATATTTGACAGGAGTGCCAAGAATACACAATGGGGGAAAGACAGTCTGTAAAAATGTTGTTGAGAAAATTGGATGTCAACATGCAAAAGAATGAAATTGGAACCTTATACAAAACAATCAACTCAAAACAGATTAAAGACAAACTTAAGACCTGAAACTGTAATACTGCTAGAAATAAACAAGGGGGAAAGCTTCACGACATTGTTCTTGGCAATGATATCATGGATATGACACCAAAAGCCCAGGCAACAAAAGCAAAAAGAGACAAGTGGGACTACATCAAACTAAAAAGCTTCTGCATGCAAAGGAAGAAATCAAGATAGTGAAAAGGCAGCCTATAGAATGGGAAAAATATTTGCAAAACATATATTTGATAGGGGGTTAATCTCTAAAATATATAAAGAAAAGCAAAGAAACTAATAACCAGATTTAAAAATGGGCTAAGAACTTGAATAGACATTTCTCTAAAGAAAATATACAAATGAACAACAGGTATATTTACTGACTTTTTTATGTGAACTGTTTGATAAAATACTTTGCCCATTTTGTTGTCAGTTGTACTTTTTGTTTTCTTCTTGGTCTGTAAGTGCTCTCTATATATTCGGGAGATTGGCTTACTATGTCATATACGTTGCATACTTTTTTTCTTAGTTTGTCATTTACATTTTGTCATTTAGAAAATTTTAATTTTTATGTAATCAGTATATCTACTGTTTTTCTATGACTTCTGGGTTTTGAAATTCTCATGTTTCTCTTACACTTTTCAAGTTGTATTTCTTTGTGACTAAATTTTTATTCATCAGCAATCCATTTTGATGCAAGAAGTAAGCTCCCAATCTAGTACCATTAACATCTAGCCAAGTGTGCCAACAAGATTAGTAAGTAAATTATTTTTTTTCTACTGATTGGAAAAGCCACAATTATTATATACTAGACTCCTAGGTCTGATTTTGAATTCTATTCTATTCTATTAGCTTGTCTATTCATATAATGGCATGAAACCCTTTATTACTATAGCTTTAAAACTGTAAGTTTTATGATGACTTAGTTCCCCATCATTACTTTTTTCTTTTTTTTTTAATTCTCCAATTTCTTGGCTATTTTTGCCTTATTGTATTTCTATATGGAATTTTTTAAAAGCTTTCCTAGTTGCCCCAAAATTAACATTGGTAACTTTATTGTGATCACATTACATTTATAGATTAATTTAAGGAAGAGTGACATCTTTACAATATTGCATCTACCTATCTAAAAACAAGGTATGTCTCACTGTTTATTCCATTCTAGTTTTTCTTTAACTCCCTTAATATAGTTTAAAATCTTTTTCCCACACGTTTTCTAAGTTGTATTGTTAGGTATTATTTTCTAATTTGTTTTGTAGAAGAAAGTTAAGTTTTGTGTATTAATTTTGAAACTACCTACCTATGGTTTCTAATTTTTGAATTATTATATATGTGCTAGATAAACATCATCTAGTAGTAATGTAATTAAATCTCCTCATTTCCAGTTGTTAATACCTCACATTTTTTTTTCTTGACTGAATGCATTGACTGGTACTTTCAAAAAATATTTAATAATTTTACATTCATCTTTTCCTAATTTTAATGGGAATGCTTTTAGTGTTTTACCACTAAGCAAACTATAAGCTTCTAGTTTGAAATAAATTTGCTTTCAATCCTATCAAGGAAGTGTCCCTTTATTCTTATATTAAGAAAATTTACCAGGAATAATTACTACATTTTATTAAATGGTTTTTCAGCATCTCTGGGGAGAAAGGATCATAATATTCTCATTTGGTATATTGCTTTGGTGAATTATGCTAGTAGATTCCTTAAGTCAATATTATTGGAATAAACTACAGTTAATCATTATGTATTATTTTTAGTGTGTTGCTGAATTCTGTTTGCTAATATTTTACACAGTATTTTTGCTTTAATATTCATAGATAAGATACATTTGTAATTTTCTAGCTTTTATATTTTGAAAGGTTTTGTTATAAACATTTCTCAAAGTCCTTTCCCTATGTTCTAGAACAATTTGTATAATACTGCAATTAACTGTTCTTTTAAGTTTCATAGAATTTCCTTAAAGCTATCTGGACATAACTGTTGTTTTAGAGTTACAAAGAATATTTTTATTATACAACTTATGTTTCTTCTTTGTTAGTTTAGGTTTTCTATCTATTCTAGGGACAGTTTTGGTTATTTGTATATTCCTAGAAAAATAATGCTTTTCATGGAGAGTTTTAAATTTATTTACATAGTTTTAGGCAAAGAATTCTTTTATAATTGTTGTAATTTCCTTTGAACCTGAGATTTTTTTCTCTGTTCTCATATTTTATGTTAAGTATTTGTGCATTCTTATTTTCTTCTCCCTGATTATATTAGTGGGGTTTATCTTGTTTTGTCAAAGAGTCAATGTTTGAATACATTTATTCTGTTGTGCTGTTTTCTAATTCATTAATTTATGATTATTATAATTATCTCAGAATTATTGATAATATAGTAATAAATTATGTTGATGTATCTAATTGTGGCATACCATTAAGGGAAGTTTTAACTCCCAGTCTTTAACTTAAAAGGTTAATGCTATTTAGCTTCTTAATGAATTTATAGTACTGGTACGGATCATTTTTCTAAGTATTTTAGTGGTTCAAAGATGATAGGTATAAAACTATAATTTGACCCACAGATTTTCTGAACATTGTCTGTAGTACAGACCTGGTCGTGTTGATATGAGAGTTATTTGATTTAGGCATCCTGGGATTGCATCTGTCTTTAGGCCTAGTGAAGGCATGGCTCATGAGTATAAAAATCTTCTGAGGAGATTAGTATTCGGATTGTTATTTCTATGGGTAATACCACTTGGTTATTTACTTCTAATAGTCATAATTCTCCTGTCTTTAGGTCTGATGTTGGGATTATGTAGGAGTCAAAGTTTAAATCCTCATACTCTGTATATTCTTAGATTCAGTATCACTGATGTCCTATAGTTTTTACGGTAAGGGAAGGATTATTAATTTCATCTATCATGTAAAGAATTCTTAATGATGGCAGGGCAGTTAGAATTAGGATAATGGCTGGTAAGTTTGTCGGGATAGTTTCTACTTATCGTGCTTCTGTTGTACTTGTGTGTGTTAGTTTAGTTGTTAATATTAGTGAAGTAATATAGAGGACCAAGGAGCTGATTAAAAACACAATTATCAATGTGTGATCATGAAAATGTAGTAATTCTTCTATAATGGGTGATGTTGCATCTTGAAAACCTAATTGGAGAGGATATGCCATGGAGATATATAGGACTTTCACCTATAATTTAACTCTGACAAAGTTATGGAAAATTTTACTAATGTCTCATTTATTGAGAAAGACATAATGATTATGATGTTGGCTTGAAACCAGTAGAAGAGGATTTGATTCCTTCCTTTCTCAGCTATTTTGAGTTAACATAAGTGGGCTCTTCAAATGTGTGATATGGTAGACATCCGTTTGGTCATTCTAGTTAGCTCTGCTGTTAACACTTCTCATTTTGATGCAAATGCCTCTCAGATTATGAAAATTATTAATATTACTGCTGTTAGTGAAATGAATGAGCTTATTGATGAGATAGTGTTTCATGTTGTGTATGCATCTAGGTATATCATTGTGGTATTCCAGGTAGACCTAGGAAATGTTGTGGGAAGAAGGTTATATTTTCACCTACAACAAATATAGTTACGAAGTGAATCTTTGCTCATGTTGAGTTGAGTGTATAGCCTAAGAATAGTGGGAATCAATGTACAAAGCCTCCCATAATAGCGAATACAGCTCCTATTGATAATACTTAGTGGAAGTGTGCAACCATGTAATCTATATCATGAAGGACAATGTCTAGTGATGAGTCAGCTAGGACAATTCCTGTTAGTCCACCTACTGTAAAAAGGAAGATGAAGCCTAGGGCTCATATTATGGCTGGAGATGATTTGATATTACCTCCATGAAGCGTTGCTAGTCAACTAAATACTTTTACTCTTGTTGGAATAGCAATAATTATACTGGCTGATATAAAATATGCTCATGTTTCAACATCTGTATTTACTGTAAACATGTGGTGAGCTCATACGATGAATCCTAAAAGTCCAATTGATATTATAGCTCATAGTATACTTATGTACCCAGAAAGCTCTTTTTTCCTGAGCAATAAGTTACAATATGTGAGATTATTCCGAATCCAAGTAAAATTAGAATATAGACCTCAGGATGTCTGAAGAATCAGAATAAGTGCTGATATAAGGTTTGATCTCCCCCTCCCGCAGGGTCAAAAATGGTTGTGTTTAGGTTTCGGTCTGTTAATAGCATAGTAATTCCAGCTACTAGTACAGGTGATGATAGTAGCAGTAGCACAGCTGTAATTAAAACTGATCATACAAATAATGGCGTTTGATATTGGGGTATAGCATATGGTTTTATGTTAATAATTGTAATAAAATTAATAGCAT